CCCGCTTCGGCAGGGAGGTTTAAACGGATGCGAAATCCAGCCCTTGGCGCTGCCCCGCCGTCCTGCCCCGCGGCGGCACCGCGGCCCTGCCGGGAGGTGAGCCGCACCGCGGCCCACAAAGCATCCGGACTTCAAGGCAGTTTTAGCAATGCCAAAGGCAAAAGTTTAATTCAAAGTGAAAAGCCTAGGAAAAGAAGGCCTTTCCTTTTATAAACAATTTATATTATTTGACTATTACCTGATCTGAATCTCTGCTCATTACTCCTAGCAATAGTAGACAACGGCTGTTAGGTTCTCTTTCTCACGTGGTTCGGTTTTTTTTCCTGTGTGCGCAGAGTAAAGTTACATCAGATCGCTACAGAGATATGTTCAGGAGTGCTCCGGCCAAGCAGATCCCACATGTGAATGCATCCTCGTTAGTACAACTGATTTTCATTCCTCCTGCAACGCCGCTCGGACCGAGAGAGCAGGCGGGACACTGCTCCTCCCAAGACTGAGCTCCACTGGCTCCTCCGCAGCAGCTCACAGCAGCTGCCAGCTTTTTTTTCCTTTTTTTTTTTCCTTTTTGGCTGATTTGCTAGATAGGAGAAGTTGTTTTCAAACCACTGGTGAGAAAACATTGTGCCTCACTTCAATAGTTGTACTTCAGAGGAGTACAACAGCAGAGGGGGAACAGCCAAAAAACTGGGTTATTTGTTGGGTAGGTTTTTTTCCTTTTTCAGCCATCTTCTTATGAAGCCTTGCGCACGTTTTGTGCCAGCAATAAACCCCAGCACTGGGACCTGGAGGGGAGGAGAAGGGGAGGGAAGGAGAAAGGCATGTGCTCAGCCTCAGTCACGCCGTGGCCGGCACCGGCCCCCCGGGGCTGTTACCAGCCGCAGCACCCACAGCCACCAACGGGGCTTGCCCCCACCCGGACACGCTCTGGACCTGACCCAGAGCACCTGGCTCCCTCTTCCAGCCAGGACAGATGGATGGACAGGGCTGTTTGCACGCTTGCCGGGAAGCGTACGTCCCCAGGTGCCTCTCACCATTTACTGCCCTTCCTTCGGCGTCTCCTCCTCCTCCCGCAGCTGCTGCTTCCGTGCTTGGAAGTCTTCATCTGAAAGGCAGAGGCAGGCGGGGGCGGGCC